CCCTTGTTCTATAAGAAATGTTCGTGTTGGTAGATACGCCGGACAGTTTACGGTTTGCTTACGTGTCCCACTCACCGATGCGCACTCTGTGCATACCTGTTGTCACCGCGTAGGGGGAAGTTGGTCTAGTCTAGAATCGAACTTGGACGATCAGGAGGGATTTCCGACTCCCACGCACCTGGATACGAGTCATGTGATCAAGGCAAGCCTCCCTCGCGTCCAAGGCCATTCCACCGTGCGTTGTCTCGTGAGACGCCTCTCTGTGCAGATCGCACAGGCGAAATGGGCAAACGTTAGGGACCGCTCTTAGAATTGATTTTTGCGATGAGGTACGCACCTGCTAACAACCCTTTGCATGAAGCACCTATGTCCGTTCTGTGTTTACTTTCATTCATTACTGTCCCGTCGTCTCCCCCCAGTAGTCTGACGGTCTTCACGAACTTTGTCTGTTCTCTGCTTCCTCGACATACCGTCCTGTTTTTCCCCGGAAACCGATCTAAACTTCTCACCTCTTACTCTGGTTGCCAAGACACCACAATGACAATTCTAACTGCCCTCACAGCCCTCCGAACTGCCACAGTTCGCTAATACTGACCGCCTTTTCGTGGTTGTGCTGTGCTGCAAATGACCTATTGCCTCATTGGCTACGAAGAATCAGTGTGAGAACACCGAATGTTCCAAACACAGATGTCCCCTTCGGGTCTGCCTGGAGTCGAATCTGTCATACTGCGCCGATTCTACAGTGCCAGTGCTTTGGACAATTGTTCACTCCTCGACGATCTCTTCCTACTATTCAATCACAAGCGTCTAGTGAATTCTGTATAATACGCTTTTCTACTTATAAAGAGATTTAGTAGTTTAATATGACCTTGACTCCGTTCAACCGTTCAGACTTCAAAAAAAGCCATTTCCCGCACCTGTTCTCTCTATCAAAAAACGGAAACATTCCAAGGTGGCACCCCACCCAACTTTGTGGTCATAGAACAAACTTACTCGCTGCACTTCAACTGTTATTCCGTTGGACAGAGATCCAACTTGATCGCTCTTATCACCATGTATTCAGTGACTCACTCAGTCACTCACTAAACCATATTTGACTGGTTTCTTTTTTTGCGAATGATGTTCACGATAATTCGGTTCATCTTCCAACACACAACTGTTCCAAGTCTTGGTAACGAAGAACAAAGCTCGTTTTCTCTGAGTGTTTTTCTTGGCTAATACATCACAAATTTATATGGTACCAGAAATCACGTGGAAAAGGTTAAGATCGGGGCTACACGCCCTTTAGCGAAATAGAAATCAAAGGAAGGGTGGGGTTGGATGAGGGGTAGGTCTATGGGTCACGGAATCAGGTAAGTCAATGTCAGACAGACTGGATGTTTCGTAGGACAGTTCAAGTTCAGAGGTCGCACAACTTTTTTTTCGATGCAAAGTTGTGTTGTGGGTAGTCGGATTCCAACCGTGTTGTATTGTGCGGTGGTCTAGCTATTGGTTACGTCTGCACTGAGCTTGCTAGACTATGCGATAGGGAGAAGACAGAGAACTGGGGGCACGGTTGTATTGCCAGGACAAAACATACAGAGCGTCTGCGTAAATATATAGGATGACTAATTGGCCAAACATGGTCGTTCACTTGTTCGCTCCGTACAGCCAATGGTGGTGGTTCGGTCCTGAACGTTCTCAGACCCACTACGCTGGTCGTGTGTTGCTAGGCCGTGTTTGGTGGGAGCCGCCGACTCACCAACTTTCCGGACGTGTCGAACCGATGGTGACCTTGGGGATGCGTCACTCTATGCACATGTGCTTTTTCTTCTGTCTGGGCGCACCCTGACAAACAACCTCTGCGATCGATAGTTATCTGGATCGTACCAGTCGTGATCGGTTCAGAGGTGCCCCGCATATGATGGTGAAGGCTTCTCTAAAGTGTATGTACCCCGATCTTAACCTTTTCCACGTGATTCCTGGTACCATAGAAATTTGTGATGTATTAGCCAAGAGGAACAATCACAGAAAACAAGCTTTGTTCGCTACCTTCTTCGTTCTCGTGACTACCATGGGTATATGCAGCCACCTGTTCCAAGTTGTTTTGCTTTTTTCAACATGTGCATTTATGCTTCCATGATTTTGTTTAGACAGACTGTTCCAAATTTTGGGAGTTTGTAAAACAGGGTAATGGAAAACGGTGAAGTGCAATCCTTCTTAGGGTCGATGGCTGAATACATAACAGAGAACATCTATGTATTATGCAAATCCTATCCAAAGAACCGTGTTTTATGTTGTTTTAGGAAACATTTCCTGGGATATTATCACAAGAAGCATTATTTTCATCAGATAAATCAGGTTGGCAACTGGATGCGCTTTCTTGCAGCAGTCGATCAGGTTCAGCGCTAATATTATCGCTGTTATTACTGCAACACAAGAAGATAAATCTAACAAAGTGAATGGTAATCACTCTAGCACTTTCACCCACTCCAACCGACGGGTTGCTGACCATCGCACACTGGTTTATTGGGGGCACCAAGCAACCAAACGAATCAGTCGATATCTACGCCCTTTAGATGACTGAACGAACGCAGTTGTTGATGACAGTGTTGCGAAATAGAGGTAGATCGGGTGCGTTGCTTAATTGTTGGTCGGTTCACCTAGCTTGGCACAGGTTTCATCACCAATCGAAATGGGATCGTCAGCGCGTTGATAGATTTCTGTCCTTCTGTCTGTGCATTTATAGTTGCTAAACAGCATCTCGTAGCTCTAAAGCGATTGGTTGTTCCCGAAATTGTCTTGGCGTAATTTTATTGGTCTCATGGGAATCTGTGTTGCTTCCTTGTATCTGATCGGCTTGTTGTGCGCATTCAGTTCGACAGTTCAGTTCTTTTTGGGCTGTGCCCATCTTGCTTAGTGGCTTGATGTTGTTCCATCTGACTGAATGATTTAACAGCCATCCATTTTTAATAGTTTTCTTTCTTTGATCCCATTGGTGCGTTGGCTGAGTTTCCACGTCATTCAGTATCTCGTGACTGATTACCGGCCCGTAGACAAGACCAGTATTGATGTGTTTATTGATCGATTTTTCTGTGGAGTGGTGCTCCTCGGCAAACTCTTGCTCGTGTTTTGTCCTTGCGCGGGCAAGCATTTGAAAATTTTTCCAATTCAACTTAGCGACCAATGCGCCCAACAAATCAACAAGATACAATGCAACACAGATTTCTGGATAATCAATCAAACTGCGCGAAAACTGCCTCTAGCCAACCAATCGCTTACGAGCTACCAGATGCTGTTCAGAAAATATAAAAGCATGGGCAGAAGAGGAGGAATTCATCAACCCAACCACGCACAGACGATGCCAACTCGACTGGTGATGAAACAGACCAACAATGGAGCGGCGCACCCGAACAGTCTCAATTCGAACAGCTTGGGAGAGCTTCTCCAACATTACGGTGTTCCGATAAATTCACTTGTCTCAAGACCGTCCTTCCGAACGGCATGCGTTATAAACTATTCGGTTTACCGTCTGTTTCCACAGCTCGGTAAAAATTCCTCGAACCTAGTAATGACGTGGGCTTCTTTCGAATGCTTCACCCAGTTCATCAACGCTTCTTCAAATTGGAATGCCATAGGATCGACGATTTACTTTCAAAAACAAGCCCAAATTCCTTAATTATGTTTGGTTTATACAAACCTTTCTTGTTTTTCTTAAAAAAAGGTTTTTGCGCCTTAGTGACCACTTCTGGACAGACATTTCACCAATACCAGTCATATTCACTTCCTGTTTTTGATAACAAAACCGTAGGCTTTAGAAGAAGGGTACAATGAATCAACCAAGGAAGCGACCAAGGACAGTCAATTCGTCGGCGATCAGCCGACGTACGTCCCACAAAGCGTTAGAAATCACGTGACAAAAAATTGATGGGATTTCAAAATTTATTTCGTGTTTGCCTGGATGATAATTGAACGAACTGAAGCTCTGTGATGATTGCAAAATTCTGTGCCCTAGGCAACATGATTTCAACTTCAGTCACACCGGAAGAATGGTACTTTTAGAAAGAAGCTTTTAGACAGGATTCAAAGCAGTTTACTTCACAAGGTTGCTGAAAACTCTTCGACAGCCCACGACCGGTTTCACCCTTCTTGGGGCTCATCAGGTTTCCGACTTTCCGTCAACCTTGTGTTCTATTTGAACCTAAATTAAACTGAATTTGAAAAATATACTTATTTATTTATTTATTTATTTATTTATTTATTTATTTATTTATTTATTTATTTATTTATTTATTTATTTATTTATTTATTTATTTATTTATTTATTTATTTATTTATTTATTTATTTATTTATTTATTTATTTATTTATTTATTTATTTATTTATTTATTTATTTATTTATTTATTTATTTATTTATTTATTTATTTATTTATTTATTTATTTATTTATTTATTTATTTATTTATTTATTTATTTATTTATTTATTTATTTATTTATTTATTTATTTATTTATTTATTTATTTATTTATTTATTTATTTATTTATTTATTTATTTATTTATTTATTTATTTATTTATTTATTTATTTATTTATTTATTTATTTATTTATTTATTTATTTATTTATTTATTTATTTATTTATTTATTTATTTATTTATTTATTTATTTATTTATTTATTTATTTATTTATTTATTTATTTATTTATTTATTTATTTATTTATTTATTTATTTATTTATTTATTTATTTATTTATTTATTTATTTATTTATTTATTTATTTATTATCTCCAATATCGTGCCAACTGAAAGATAAGGCGGCCTGTGTGCAGCACATCCAGTTGTAGAATATCATAAATGAGAGATCCAATCGAGTCTCTCATTAAAGACCAAAGTTATTTGCAATTGAGTGTATATCTCGAAATTTCAAAGCTGTTTTTGCCGCATGGGACTGTACGGAAGATCTGATGAAAAGGAACGACCAGGCCACAGCAACCAGGAATATCTAAATGACTTTGCTACATCTACGTGTGCGGTCCGATCTGTCCCCGAATGGGTCCCATTGCATCCTCACTGGCACACGGTTCGTGATCCGAGCTTAGCGCATATCGGAGGCATAAAAGGGCTTCACTTCTACGAGATGTGTACAGCTGCTCAAGAGGATCGCTGTGAACGGCTTTGGACACTTCAGTTAGAAGAACCGCAGGTGATCCACTGCAGTGTAACTGGCTACCGGTTTGGCTTTCTTGCAGATCTTCATGGTACCCCATCGAAAATAATGACAACCAAAAGCGCTCTGTGTTAGTCAGGCGAAAATTAAGTGTCTGTTTATTGGAGGGTCTTTTAAGTGAAAGTTTTACTTTGCCACACATGCAGCTGAACAGTTCTGAAATTTGAAGTAAGCGTCTGTCAAAAAGGCCTTGTAAAGACCTCCGCTCGCAGCTGTACTTATTGGGGCGGTATGGATGAACATAAGAGTAGGTCTGTCGGACCTCCTTCCGAAACGCAGCCGCCCAGAACTTACCCAACCGACGGTCACCTAAGCATGGGCCACAGCCAGAAAAACTTGGTCGCGCATCCGGTGTGCATTTTACTCGGTGAACCTTCTCATCGCTATTGAAGCACTCAGTAGGTGGCCTGAAGTCCGTGTTATGTCACCGACTGAAACAACGGCAACCACCAATAGACTGTAGGATTTAATTTCAGTATTCGATACCCCAGTAATGATTATCACCGACATTGTCTCGTCCCATCGGTTAGGTGATTTTTTTCAAAGACTCGGCACCACGCATGTTACTTACAAACCATTCCATCAGCAATCGAATGCGCGTTGACAAAGGCCAAACGGAAAGGCCTGCTGAATTGTAGAACAACCGTCAGTCCCCGTCCTGAAAACTGTCGCTCTCTATTACGGACGGCTGAGTCTTACCCTCTACGCCATCTTGCCAACACTCACATGTTTCCAAGATCCAACAGGATGAAAACATCAAGCACAAGGTTCCGTATATCTTCACAATGGAAACATTTGGGCACCTTGTCCGAGGAAGACGCTATAAGGGGGACTAACCCAGTGTTCTCAGAGAACCTGGCCCGACACACAATGCAATCCTTGTGTATATGAGAGAATATCGCCCTAGGCACAGAAACTATACTTTTGGATTCGCTCTCAAAAGGTAGGATCATCAATAGAGAAACGGCATATCAGTCAACCTGGACCCGGTAGCTTTCCGGAGACCGATATTTGTGGATGATCGCATACAGTGCATCACTCAATAGGTACCGGAATGCGATGGACAACGAGGTTCCTGAACCCAAAAGCAGAAGAACAGTCATTAGACTTATGCCTGTTACTCAAAACCTTCAATCTTCAAAGGCCAGCGCCACTGATTCAACTGCGCCACCCCCGATGGGGCCATTGGATGGGAGGCTGCACTGATCACGTTGGTGGAATCCTTTAACATTGATTCACACAGATAATGGAGGCAACTAACCCCAGAAACTTACTACGACCATCAAACTCGCAGTAACAAAGCTGCTGAGATTCACCTTTGTTGACACATTCACATCAACCGAAGAAAGTGAATATTCGAAAAGCTACATTCTCAAAATCATCGTGACAGCATCCGCAGCGAGTAATCTGACGAGTTGGGACGAAGAAACAAGCTGTTTGGCGGGCTGTCTCAAGAATTCAATTCAATCCCTAGCACTCCAGATCAAGAACTGTCGAGCATAAAACTTTGCAGGCCAGTTGCTGGTTGAACTCTGAGGCGTTTAATAATCAGTAACTGACGATGATGAGTTTTCCAACATGATAAATATGCAAAGCCAACCGACCAATCACGCAACGCCAATCGGACAGCCATGCTTTTCTGTCAATGTTGCACTCACTTGTTCACAATAAAGCTGTTATTTTCCTTGCTGGTGAGTTTTTCTTCCGACACTGATTTACTGGATTTTGGGGGGGGGGTCTGATGGAAAACAGTCCAAAGACATATACTTCTGAAGCTGGACTAGATCTATCGACCCTTACCACAAGGTCACAGCTGATTCCCCACAACTCTTCATAGTCGATTAACATTTGATATCAGTGGTCGTGTTGTGTGACCTTCAGAGTGTGCAGTCCGGACACCCTAATGGGCCCACCTGGTGGGCAAAGTATCAACAAATCGGGTTCGACAGTTATACGTCGGTGATACACAATTGTGCTTACAAGAGCAAACAACAGCGAGGGAGAGCCTAGGTAAAGAGTAGAACGAACACGTTATGATTGAAAGTTAGTACGAAAAAGCCCGGTGTCCTTAACAAAGGCGATCAAGCACAAGGTTCCGTATATCTTCACAATGGAAACATTTGGGCACCTTGTCCGAGGAAGACGCTATAAGGGGGACTAACCCAGTGTTCTCAGAGAACCTGGCCCGACACACAATGCAACGGTAGCTTTCCGGAGACCAAGTCCCACATTTCAAGAGACACATGGCGAACGCTCAGGTGTACTTTCCCACGAAACTTCAGCTCAACTTAGACTGCGAGACAAGCATTTGGACAGCACATCTGTCGCGTATAGAAAGCGTCTGTTCATTGATAAGTGTACGCACAATTCGTGCACAAGGATCTGATTGGGGAAGTTTAGTCTCACGCGTCTCAACTCCTGCCCCCACTCTGCAAGACGCAGTCTGACCAAGCCGGAAATCAATACAGCTTCTTTATGCCGTGGTTTGAACCGGGTGGTCGAAATCCACAGATCGGCCACGAATCGCTCCATCTTTTGTGAATCTTACAGAACGTGGATAATCCCATGAGAGCCAACCAGACTGTGGGCTGTTTCTCTAGAAAAATCTAAAGATAGAACTTTTGAAACGGTAGACCCAAACGAGCGACGTGTTTGCAACACGGTGTTGATACTCTTCCACTTAACACTCTTAACACTTAACATGCCCCGTACCCTTTGAACATTTATTCACACACAGCTCTAGTGACCAGCATTCAGTTTGAGTGATTTGTAAAGCACTCACAAGCAAATTTAGAGGCAGCAATTGCTATAAAACTACTTCAATTGTCTATCAGTAATATGTACCCTAAATTGTGAAGAATGATGGCATCAAATACTTTGATGAGTTCCAATCCGAGCTATCTAGGCACTGAACAATGTTCATTACATTCTGGACCTTAGGAAATTACTCGCACAGACCTCATGAGAGAATTAGGATGACCTGCACTGCCTGCAAGTAATGACTGAACAAGATTTTGGCACAGTATATGGCCGTTTCAAACAATGCGTGGGGAGCAGACGATTACCTCAAGTGTGTTTAGACGCATAGTCTCGACCGTCATGCTGCGCCGCAGAACAACTGTCACATACTATCACTTCGGCCGAGATCACAACAATAGCTAAAACCAGAATGTTCAAACGAGTCCCCGAAACTACTAATCGACTTGTGCTGTGAGACACAAACATTTGGACGACTCATCTCTGACGTATAAAGGGTATCGATCGGGAACAGATGAAAAGCGTCCGCATACTGATAGAGGCTGACAGCCGTAGAGATTTAGAAGCCAACCAATAGCCAAACTTTGGCTGTTGCGGGATTCTCACATCACTTCTCATATCACTCTCGTTTGATTGGTTGTCAATCTTTCCCGGTGCATTGATTTTCGTGAATGGGGAATGTAGTGAACTCGATTTTCGCTCTTGAGAGCGTATCGGCAGTGCACATCCTCGGCCGTGTTGGCGAGGTGAGCGTGTTACCACTATTCCACCAGATCACGCTGGACGGAGGTGAATTTTTGCGTCTAAACAGGTGAGCACGTTGGTAGTAGCGCTGCTGGACAGTTTTCACTTAGTTGTCGGTGGCCGCGGGCACGTTTTGCTTACACAGGTGTATTTACACAACCGTCTCCTTCTCTGACCGAATTCAGGCGCACCGTAATAGACAAACGGAAGTAAGCAACCCGGCTTGGAAATGAAAAAACGCTCACCACTGAGATCGACTGGGTTGCACGTCCTCACCACCTGAAAGCTGGACTAGATGGGCTCCAGAAATGGAAACGCAAAGATCCCTCGGTATTTTGTTCGTGTGTACTGTAGAAAACATACACACGGTTAATAACAAAAAATTGGTTCACTGATGCTCGTTCCACCATGATGTTCCGTAAGAAAAGAGAAATCGTTTGCTGACAAACTGTATGATACTACTTACACATGCCGTTGCTATGGTTTCTGGCTCAAACATCAATGCCGTTTGCTCTCAACATCTTATCTGATACGCGTGATCAGTCATCCAGATATAGCAGCAGATATACTGAATATCATTCATTCTGCCTTCTTCATGGACTGACTGACAACTGCTCACTCCTTCCATCACAAAAGATCCATGAAGGATTGAGAAATCTTTCGGGAGGATATTTTCAATCACTCTGATTGGTCCAAAATCCCTCCGCACCACACGCAGCCATATGCGACATCTCCGGCTAATATCAACACCGGTACTGAGGGACTGTGTGCAAAATAAAGCACTCATTGTGGACTTCAACCCTCACGAAATAAGTTGGTGTTAACAGAATTTCATTCGAATTTCTTGGTTGTGATATTCTCAACGGCTGCCAGTTGCATCATCTGGAAAGTAATTCACTACTTGAAAGAATGTTCCTTCACGGCACACTATACATAGTCTAGTTGAAACGTTTGATTTGTTGCCCAACGAGTCCTTAGACTGACGGAATCTGCAAGATGCTGTCCGGGGCTACCAGTGACCTTGAATTTAGTGCCATAGCATGAACTTTCAAGTCCGCTTGACATAATAATATCTCTATAGATCGAAAGGTTAACTTTTAGCGGCCAGACGTATCACCGGCTTCCACCATTCTAGCAACGAGTGAGTGTCCCCAACGTTTGATTGGGCACAAACATTTTGCAAGTTTTGTACGACTTGAGGTTGTAGGGAATACATACTTTTCGGAACAAATATGGGCAGTCACGTGTGAAGAACGCATTTCATTGGCTAAAACCTTCCTCAGACGAACATGTCGTTTTATACGGCCAGAGTAGCTGTCACCCGTGGCTAGTGACTTTGTCATAACTTGGGATTGATGGTCAATCGAATACGTGAGCTGGGTCCGGCCGCAGATTAATTCCGAGTCAGGTGAGCAGAGGGACCAACCCTCATTAGGATGAGACACACATAATTTGATCCGGTACAAATCTGTTCCATTGATGGTCTGGTAAATTACGGCAGAATGGGACAAGCGGATTGGTCGATCTGGTAGTGTGACACCTTAAAGACGCCCAAACTTGTTCAAGATCCTTTCCACTGCAATTTTTTAACTAGGCTACTAAAAAGCATTTCAATGCAGACAAAAAGAACCCTGGCTTCGTGCTAACTCTTAAATACCGTGTCAGAAAACTCGGGAAAATGTCAATGTTTCGCTATATTTCTATGAGAGAGAACAGGCGTTCACAACAAAACGCTTATAAGTCAACATACAGATACGTAGAGATGTATGCACCTGAAAGGACTGATAACTTAATCAGTGCGTCAAACATTTTCGCGTGCAGCGGGACACTCGACTGACGGTGGTTTAGAATTTATGACTACCCCGCAATGATGCCATGTTTGGGGCCATGATCCGCGGGCACAAGAGGAAAGTCTTGGACCATATTTACGGATCACGTGACCCAGCATGTCAGCCGGAGCACCTGCACTTCGGCCAATGACTCGGCAATCGATCCACAACTTTTGCCGTTGCATTTAGGGAAAAATCGCTTTCGGTCGGAAGCCAACAAAATATATTTCACCTTCTGATTGGATTAGGATTTTGGCATGTCACTGAGGGGTATTCAGCCTGAACAGGTCAGCGCTTGTGAGCCAGAGTTTGTGAGCTCAGGTAAATGTAAAACGCCATTTCCAATCAGGTCAGGTGGAGCCCCTATCTGTGTGCAGAAACACCCATCCCTACGGCTGTGCCATTCCGAGGACACCCATTTCCAGGATCAAATGACGTGTCAGTTAGTAGAACAGAGCGAACAGAAGTACGGAGGCAAATGAAGTCAACGTAATTCCACGAGATAACTTGTCTCTGTTCTGGTCATCATGTTCACAAGAAACTAGCTTTTTTTTCTGGAAACATCACAAACGAGAGATTTAGCTGGGTTCCAGGTGAGTCTCTCACAAAGCCAAATTTGTTTGCAAATGAGTGCACTTCGTTGAATTCGTGCAATTTGGTTTCAAGTAGAACATAAGAACATAAGGAAACTCGGAGACTGTGCCTACTTGGTGAGCACCTAGAATGCCGAAACGGTCACGAACTGACAACGAATTTTCAGCAGCCTTATGAGTAGTGCATTACGAATATACATGTATCGTGATATCTCGAATATCCTAGTGACTGAAACATGAGGTGGCCTGGTGCAGCACATTCAGTTGCTTAGATACATCACAAACAAGAGATCTAGCTGGGTTCCAGGTGAGTCTCTCGCAAAACCAAATTAGCTTGCAAATGAGTGTATTTCGCCATCTTTTTTCTCTCGGATGTGGTTCCCCCAAAATCTACACGTAGGTGACAACTAGAGAAATGCTCACTCGGAGTCTCAACTGTTTCAACTATGTGTGTCAAAATAAACTGCCAGACTGAAACAGAGTGATATTCAGTGAAATTCTCAGTGAGATACATTTCAGCTGTCCGGATGGCGAAAAATATCGATCGGACCTTAAAAAACAGATGTTCTCACGAGTTATTTTCGGACAACTGATTGACAATTAGAAAGATTTAGAAGCCGATCCTGTCACTTGGCTGTTGTTTAACACGTCGCGTACAGCAATCGACTAACAAAGAGCTATAAATGGGCTCCAGTGAAACATATCACGCGGTCAAATCGATATTCGTAAGAAATTAGGCATGTATGACTACCCGAAATACTTTGACGATACGCAGGAACAGCTGAAAGCAGGTAACGCATCCACGCACTCCTCTGAACTGGAAGACTATCCTTATTTTTAGAATTTCTGACGTGAAAACTTCTAACCGGCGCCGATGTTGGATTTCCGCTTGAAGAAGAGTTTGTCGAGTGTAACCTGCCAGCAAATTCAAGACTGCCAAAGGAAATGTGGTTCAACGTCTTCGAGTGAGGGCGGTCTATTCAAGATATCACCCTCTGGATAGGAGTAAACAAACGCTTGGAAAGACACTAAGCTGGAGAAGATAATGAGAGATCATATTCCACACCCTACGGTTGAATGACTCCAGTTTTTACACAAGTCAAATGACTCTGAAACGCATGTCTATTCCTGTTGATTCCTCTACTATCCAAAAATAGCCTGCTTATGTCATGTGTGTGTCGCAATTGGAACGATGTGTTTGCTCTATTTCCTGAAGTTGGCGTAGCCAATGAACTGAAACCGTATCTTCCAATTGCTATTCATTTACAAGAAAACCCTCATAATTCATCTGTCGCTAATTCTACGTTGTTCGTGGTCCATCGCGCCAAAAATTGGCCTTGTATGATTGCTAAACCTGTTTCTTGAAGCCGTTGTTTTTTCGAGTAGGACTGGAAAATTGAATTTTACACATTTCCACAAGGTCATCGAAGTCCATTATAATTTCTAAAAGTTCTCATGTGATCCAGATGTCCGGATGACTTGTATTCAATTTTTAAATATAACTTATTTATATATTTTATTTATTTTTGTTCATTTATTTTTTATTTTCATTTTTTATTTCATTATTTCATTTATTTATTTACTTGTTTACTTATTTAATTAATTATTAAATTAATTAATAATTAATTAACTATTTAATAATTTAATTAATTTATTATGATGTATGATTTATAACGTCAGTGAACCGCGGATTATAAAAAAACGACATCTTTGCGTTTGTACCTGCCGGTTTAAATTCATAGGAAAAACTGACTGAATAAATTCTAGCTTTTTTCATCATGATCAAGGATGAGTATACGGAAAGCGTGCAAGGGATTCCGGCAGATGAATGAAGTTTTAATAAACCATGTGTTGAGAAAGAAACAGGGGGACCTTCAAGTGCCAGAACTCGGGCGAATCATACCAGAAACATATTACGACTGCCTCGAATCGACCGGAACTCGGGCACTACAAAGCAACCATGCTGTTCAGGTGAATTCTGAACGTGCGGAATTCAGCCTACCGTAAAATTACCCGTCAGTCAGTAGACATTCTTGCTTGTGCTCGAGATGTCCTATCACTTATCGTGTCCTTTCGTTGCGATCTTACCGTTTGCGCACCTCAGCGACCCACCGAGCTGTACACGGCGGATACTACTAATGATGTATGTGAGTAGTATGTGGTGTCCTCGTAACTTTGTCTTGCGTCTAATGGAAGGTGCACTCCATGGGGTCTATTACGGAACCTGAGGGGAGGCGTTCGTCTAGAATTCCGTGGTCGTCTATGAATATCCACCGAAGTTCAAGAAGACGCGTGAGGACGCTCAATTTTTAAAAATAAGGTGCAAATCAGACGTTCACTTTCCTGTCCACTAGCCTGTTCCCATTTATTTGGTGTTCGATACCAATCGATATCAAGACGAAGGGCTTTCCACGCTATACCAGTGAAACGGTGATACTACTGACTGGAGGCATGCGAGCGGTATGTTTTCCCGTTAATCCGTTCTACGTCTCTTTAAAAGTGATATCTACTACGGAACTTGTGGAGTCGCATTTGCTTGCATGTGAGCAACAGTCAATAAATATCCAGGAAAGTTCAGGAAGACGCGTTCAAGGAGAGGATGGATAATTTTGTTTTGTAAACAGAATGCATAAGAGAGTTTTTCTCCCATCTCCAATATTCCGTAACTGTTCACCTGGCATTTTCTAATAAATAACTCCGCAGAGAAGGCTTTCTTCCTTTCGCTAGTGTGTACTGGGGGGCGAGGATATAGTGGATTCTTTACTTCATTGGTTAAGTTCTTTGAAGGCCTTGGTGCTACCCTGTCACATAGAAACACGTCAAATCACACCCATTTAATCGATCTGTTGCTGGATATTTCGCGCATTTTTGTCGTGCCGTTCAATTGTTTATTTTAATCAGGAAATAACACAGACACTTACTAATGGAATAGCATGAAAAACTTATTCATGGATTTTTCGAGCAATCCTGTGGGTCAAACTCGAGTACCAATTTGATTTGGCTGTTGAATTCAATCGATGTATTGAATCGACTGCATTTCAGAGGGAGTGTAATTTCTTTAATCTTTCTTTTTGAGCAACACATGTACACGTGTAGCGCGCTGAATAAATATCCACTGATTTAAACAAGGAATCGAGCCCCAGCTTCGAAGATATCTTTTGATTGCTTTTTTGGGCGGTCTAGAAAAAATCAAACTTCTGCCGCCGGAACTGCTTCAGCTACTTTCAAAAAATTTCCTCGCTGTTAAACAAATGTTCCAGCTTGCGACCAAATGTTGAAGATGGATGCTAGCGACACCAGGTGCAAAGCCACGATTAGTAAACTATTTGCTCTTCAGTTCAACAAAACCTCGACACATTTACGAAGCGCAAATGTCGGCTACTTGCAACGGGTGTAAACGTGATAGTGACGTGATCAGTTCACCTTGGTTCCACAAACTGTGCGGTAAGACTTGTGGGCACTCACATGAATTCAGTGATTCAGGGGACCACAAATACTTTTTTTCTCCAGAAGTTTCCTGCAAAACTAATTGATATCATTCTTACTGACATTTTGTAAACTCACATAAGTAGGTCTGTCTTTAATGGCCGCTCTTGGTGTTCCAAAGATATCCTTCCACTTTTCGTTTCAAGTGTTCTATATATGGGAATTCGTACACATTCGATGATTAGTTACGTCAGCACGTTTTGACGTAGGTGTTGGTGAAAACGCGGTCTAACCAGTCATTCGTTGCGCTGCGTGAATTGATGTGCAATGCACTGACGTGTTGTATTGATTGATGGTGTCACGTGACCTTTCAGGCCCGAACACTCAGCTCGCTCAGTTGTTTGACCTACACACTTCCTAGTTGGATGATCCTATCTTTTCATTTTTCCAGCGTATGCGCTTAAAGCTGCCTCTAATTGGGGTCATCTGCAATTAATGCAAGTAATAAAAAGACATGCCTAGTGTTGTGTCTGAATGGGTACGAACAATAGGCAACTTGAGAACGAATGCACAGATCACCAGCCCAACCACCCCTCGGGCAGGGAGAGAAACAGAAAACTGGTTCACCAGCCCACCCCTCGGGCAGGGAGAGAAACAGAAAACTGGTGAGCCTTTTTATTGCTGAAACAAAAGGCGAAGTGCAGCGGGAATATATATC